GACGCATATCCAGAAAATTTGCAACCTGAATTTTTTTTGTTTTATAGAACAGACAAAAAACGAAAATCATTTCGTAATCATATGACTATCGTGGTGAATAAATTATTCTAAAGAAGAGTATTCCAAATGAATAAATTCATCAACTTCTCGATCGCAATTCATTTTTTTACTTGTCTAACGCAGAGATACTAAAACATACCTCTAATGTACACGGATTAAGTGATGCCAGTTGTAATGGAGTGCACTGCCGTTCCATCAACGACAAATCTGCACCATACCACAGCAACATTTTCACCTTAATTTACAGTCTTACACTTTGTGGGCATTTACAAACTTAGTTGGCAACAAACTATAACTAATGACAACATGAATAAAAACGAAAATCCAATCCGATTATCTAATTGACTGAGACTGCTGATTGACCTACCAAATGCACGTTATTGTTCGCAACTGCATAATGAATCGGTGCACGCCCTGAACGATCCAAAATATTCGGGCACATATCTGCAATATCAAACCTATTACACCAAAGTTTCTCAACCTGGACTTTATGGACCCCTTAGGGTTCCGAGAGAGAGTAAGGTGAAAGTGGTACGAGAGTGGATGCGATGAGATCGGGTGAGTAAGAGGTGGGAGATAAGGTAGGGAGTACGAGAGCATCTTAAAATTCTCTACGGGGTCCACGGAGTAAAAAAGGTTGACAACTACTCTATTAAACGAATAATCAACGAGATGTTGTGCTCTTCAAAGAAGATATTGAAATGATGAAGAATGAAGAAGACTAACCATAAGACATCAACGCGTCCAGCTGACACGATTGTCCAGTGGATGCAGCCAGATGCATCGCAGTCTTACCAGTGCGAGTTGTACGCTCACGCATCGTTGAGCGCATATCCTTCCAAGACAACATATCCAGAATCAACCGAATCATTCTGCAATCAATATCTCTTGCTTTCCTTTCATTCCAACCAATAAACATCCACTCTTTACCTAACATTCGTTCGCGAGAGCAAAATAAAAATTATCAAACACAGCCATTCTTATTTGCTAAATGAATTTTGCACACAACTCCATCATCTACCAGTTCTTGTTAGCACATTTAATTTTTTTTAACTTCATTCCCAACACAATCAATCAAAATTATAATAAAAGACGGAAATTATAATTTCAAAAAAAAACGAAGTCAATAATAAAACCAAAACACTCACCTGCAACTGCCATGATCTCTGACAGAGCATGGTTTGTTAATATTTCTTGTTGCTGCCAACTGATGTAAGACCGTTGTATGTTGTTTCTCGTTGTAGAACTGATGGATGACACCCTTTAAAAGAATTCAAACTTTTTTTTGAAATGATCATATAACGATACGCATACTTTTAAATATCAAATATTATCAAACAAACTGATCAATTTCACATAATAAATCAATAATAAAACAAATTAGATCACTATTGGACAGACAGAATCAGCTACCGCACCAAATACTCTCTCAAGATAGCGAACCCTACATCCAGAAGAGAGTTTCCTTGACTTGTTATCTTGTTCATACATGCTTGACTAACTGTAAGACTAGCCCTACCTCTCAAAAAACTTTTAGCATGTATTATTTCAAAGTGGTCATAGAATAATTTCAAAATTCGTTTCTGTTCGATGAATTTCGTACGTGAAATCTGCTTGAATTGCGTATTATATGGAAGAACAAGTTCAGTGGCTTATCCAAAGGGAGCAAGGTGCAGGGATGCGCTTTCTCTCCTGAAGGTCGGAAGAAAATGGAAAAAAAAAGCAGAAGCGAGGAGGGAAAGGCAAATGAAGTAGAAAAAAAGAGATAAAAGGAAGGATCGAAAGAAGATGGACGAAGAAATAAACGTAGACGAATGAAATTCGTCTCAAAATTCAGCTATCAGAACATTTTGCGTCCCCTTTCGATGCAAAAAATTTTGGCTATGCCAATGAACACGTCACTTACACTCATCACATGCTCGGTGAACTGTCGTTCAGTCATTTTCTCGTAATGAATTCGAGCCGCCGACTTTTTGAGAATTCGCAGAATACAATTAAATTTATTCATAAAAATTTCAGGTTCGCCATCAACCAGTGAATTGTGAAAACTTCGCATCCATTGACTGTATTTCTGGGCTAACTGAAATATCACAAAAATATTTCTTATTTCACTTCTGCTTCAGATACTATCGAAAATTTAATGCGATGAATTGCTCCATTGAATTGTTCTCATGTCTTTTTCATTCTTGTAAATACTCGCATCGTTAAATTTTAAATAAAATAAATTAGTAATACATAAAGGTAACATGACAATTAGTTTACGGAATACAGAGTCCGTGATCAAGCAGCATAAAAAAGCATTCGGTGAAGTAAACGAATCAGTCAACCACCTTATTGCTATCATCGACCATTTTAAGAACATTCTCCATCTCTAAGCCATCCTTATTGGCCAGACTATCACTGTTATCCTCTCCTCCATTACCGTTATCCATATGGTTATAACTGCTTGTATTATCCAGTGAGAGCTGAACCTTTGAGGGTGCATTTGTACTTGAATCATCGCAACGAAACAATCTTAAATTAACCCATTTCAATTCTCAACTTATTCACCCAAAGAAACTAAACTACTAAAAATATTCACCTACCCATGTAATTTATTACCCGTCGAATACACCTGAATGAGTTCATTCTCGTTGAATGTATTCATGCCAGAGAATGTCGTGAATGTGTTATTGTTGCCAGTTGATTGTGACTGCGATGGACAGACTCGATTCTCTTCGTTGAAATCGCCGAAACTGATCGGTACTGATTGTTGCTGCTGCTGTTGTTGTTGTTGGTGACTTCTCTTCTGTATTCAACAAACTTCACTACTTGACAAATTTAATTTGTCATCATTCGATAACGCAATACTTTCACAATATTTGCGAACGTTCACAATTCTATATCACTTCTTTCCTCAAGTATATTTGACAAAATAACTCAACTCAACCACAACGCATTATAACTTTTGCAGTGATTTTTTTTACTGTTTGCAAGCCTAGAATAATATGGCGAGGAATACTACACCACGAAATGCGCAACCAAAACTTCTTGAATTTTGAAAAAAATGTGGCTTCCATTGAAAAAAATTATGTGTCTAAATTTTTCCATTTCCTCCGTCAAAAATTGTTCAAAATGAAATTAAGCACAAATCCGGAAATTACCTGAGCCACTGACTGACTGTCGGTTATGCGTAAACTAAGTAAATTCTGTACCACTGACGCTTTTTCCAATCGATCACGAGTGGCCTTCTCCTGAGCTTGTTGATACTGAAATTTTACCATCCCGTACGTCATCATTGATGCGCACTTATTTTCTCTGATTTTACTCTTTTCAAGTTCATTTAATTGCACACATTCTTTTCGATCCCAATGTTGCGCTCGGCTAATCAACAGTGAAATAACAGGTTCATCTTACTTCACTTTTGACAAAAACGGACATTAATATCACAAGGAACCACACAACGATTATCA